GACATACACACAACCACATACATACACACAGCCATACACATGCATGTGTATGTGTGTGCACATATATACACATATCAGAGCGAGGAGGGCGACAAAATCATTAAATGTCCCTGGATGCATGGCTGAAGTGGGATTCTGTGGTGCGGATGGTTGTTGCGTTCTTGAGTTCCCACTTCTGAAGCATGACTATTGTTGATCCCTTCCTCCAGTGACCCGTGCACTCTTTGAATTGCGGTGCCCCTCCCAGGGCTCGCGCACGGTTTTTATCAGCGAAAATCTGGTGTCACCAAACTGTGTTGTTGCCCCCCAACTTACATCAACAACAACGGCTCCCGCCTAATACTTCCTGACAATTTATTGAGGCATCGCGCTCTAGCGCGGGAATTCGTCATACTTTATGCAGGAATCGCGCACTCGCGTGGTACTTCCTCGCAATTCGTGGCGGCGCGGTGCCCCCCAAGACTCAGGAACCACGCTCTCATTACTGCTTTCCTCACGATATACGTGTGAATCGCGCTATCGCTCGAAATCCCTTGCAATTCATGTTGGGTTGGCGCTTCAGCCACCTGCCCGCTCGACCAAGCGGGCTCGGCCCGCCCGCCTGGCCTGCCCGTTGGGGTCTGCCCGCCCGACACGCCAGTCTGGTTCTGCCGCTCGTATTCCTGCTCCCAGGCCCCCCTTCTGCAGACCTCTCGCTTGATCCATCAATCTCCCTCCCCCCTTGTCTCTTGCCTCCCCCCTTCCTTTCCCCGTTTGAAGGGCTGCGTCAACTGCGCCTGGCAGGTAATGGAGACATGCACCCAAAAGGGGTACGATCGAAGACGAAGAGAGCGGGCATCGAGGGTTTGGGACATACGTGCTGTATGGCACGCGAGCAGTTAAGCGCGAACAATCTGAAACTTTGGTTGTGGCGATCAGTGTTGCTGTTGTTATTGGTGTTCGTGGTGCTGTTGTTGGTGTTGGTGTTGGTGCTGGGCTTCTTGTTGTAGTAGCAGTAGTTGTTGTTGCGGCTAGTTGTTTAATTAATATGGGTGTTGTTGTTATGGTTGTTGTTGCTGATATTATTATTGTTGTTGTGGTTGTTGAACTCTCACGAGTGAAAGGGAATTATTGCTGCCCCTTCGGACGACCATCATATTTTTCAATCGAAGTGTCCTCCCGGGTCTCATTTCCGATAACTATTTTCTGTTTTTGTCAGGGAACGTGTAGTATCACCAAACTGCCTTGTCGCCCCCTGAACTGCAACAGCAGCGGCTCCCGCCTGATACTTCCTCACACTTTGTTGAGAAACCACGCTTTCGCTAGAGACTTCCTTGGACTTTACTCAGGAATCGCGCCCTCGCGCGGCAATTCCTCACGATTTGTTCAGACGCCGCGCCTCGACACTCAGGCATCACGCTCTTGCTTTGGATTTCCTCGCGATTTACTTGGGGATCGCGCTCTTGTGTGGGACACTCTCACGGTCCATGCAGGCCTAATGCCTCAGCGACCCGCCCGCTCGACTTGCCCGCCTGGGTCGCCCGCCCGACCCGCCCGCCCGTTGGGGCCCGTAGTCGCCCCTCGCTGCCTTTCGCCAGCCTCCGATGCCCCATCGCTGCCCTTCGTGGCCCCGCTGTCGCCCTTCGTGACCCCCTCGCTGCCCTTCATGGCAACGTTGCTGCCCTCAGTGGCCCCGTCGCTTCGCTGTCTTTGTTGAGGCCCCCTATATGTAGGCCCTTCGTGGCCCCCGCTCGCCCGCGCCCTTCGTGGCCCCATTGCTGCCCTTCGTGGCCCCACTGTCGCCCTTTCTGGCCCCGTTGCTGCCCTTCGTCGCACCGCTGCTGCCCTCAGTGGCCCCATCGCTGCCTTTTGTGGCTCCATATGAGTATGCCCTTCGTGGCCCCCGCTCGCTCGCGCCCTTCGTGGCCCAGTCGCTGGCCTTCGTGGCCTCGTTGCTGCCCTTCGTGGCCCCGCTGCTGCCCTTTGTGGCCGCGTATACGTGTGCCCTCTGTGGCCCCCACTCGGCCGCGTCCTTCGTGCCCCCCCCCCGCTCGCTCGCAACCGTCGTGGTCCCATGTGTCTGCCCTTCGTGGCCCCCGCTGTCGCCCTTCGTGGTCACATCGCTGCCCTTCGTGGCCCCGTTGGTGCCCTCAATGGCCCCGTTGTTGCACTGTGTGGACACATATACGTATGCCACCCCCGTTCGGTCACGCCCTTCGTGGCCCCCGTTCCCCTTCGTTTTCCTCTTTAGGGGCGTCTCCAATACAAATGGCAGAGAAGGAATATACCCCCGAGAGCGGGTACGATCGAAGACGAAGAGGGCGGGTATTCGGGGTTTGGGAAATGCATAGTGAACGGCACGCGAACAAACAGGAGCGAACAAGATTAACGTGATTGTTGTTGTTATTGCTGCTGCTGCTGCTGCTGTTGTTGTTGTTGTTGTTGTTGTTCCCCATATCCTAAGGATTTGGGGTTCTTGTTATTACTCTGACGCCTCCCACTCCTCCTCCTCCTTCTTCCTCCCGCCTCCCGCCTCCCTCCTCCCAATGATAATCACCAGATAAGACAAGACAATATAAGATACTACAATATAAGATAAGATAGCACAATCTATGATAAGGTAAGATAAGATATATGACAAGGTATGATAATACATAAGATAAGACAGCCTATGGGGTAATAAGATAAGACAAGATATGATGCGATAATATGAGTTGATATACGATAAGCTAATGCAAGATAAGAGATTTCAAGATAAGATAAGATAGAGGGTAATAAAGGTAAGATAAGATAGGACTCGATAAGATAAGATGAGACTCAGTCTCACTCAGACTCACTCGCAGTCACATTCACTCACACTCACACTCTCTCATGATCACAAAACGCTGCCAGGGGCATCATTTGGGAGCCCCAAGGGGGAGCCACCCTGGCTGATCTCACGAGCCCGTTCGCGCCGATTTTGGTGGGACGTCTCAGCTAGAATTGCCGTTTGGCGCCCCCAACATGTATCTCTTGAGAGCCTCATGGTCGCAAAACGCTGCCAGGGGCATCATTTGGGAGCCCCAAGGGGGAGCCACCCTGGCTGATCTCACGAGCCCGTTCGCGCCGATTTTGGTGGGACGTCTCAGCTAGAATTGCCGTTTGGCCTCCCCAACATGTATCTCTTGAGAGCCTCATGGTCACAAAACGCTGCCAGGGGCATCATTTGGGAGCCCCAAGGGGGAGCCACCCTGGCTGATCTCACGAGCCCGTTCGCGCCGATTTTGGTGGGACGCCTCAGCTAGAATTGCCGTTTGGCGTCCCCAACATGTATCTCTTGAGAGCCTCATGGTCACAAAACGCTGCCAGGGGCATCATTTGGGAGCCCCAAGGGGGAGCCACCCTGGCTGATCTCACGAGCCCGTTCGCGCCGATTTTGGTGGGACGTCTCAGCTAGAATTGCCGTTTGGCCTCCCCAACATGTATCTCTTGAGAGCCTCATGGTCACAAAACGCTGCCAGGGGCATCATTTGGGAGCCCCAAGGGGGAGCCACCCTGGCTGATCTCACGAGCCCGTTCGCGCCGATTTTGGTGGGACGCCTCAGCTAGAATTGCCGTTTGGCGTCCCCAACATGTATCTCTTGAGAGCCTCATGGTCACAAAACGCTGCCAGGGGCATCATTTGGGAGCCCCAGGGGGGGTCCACCAGGGGCTTCATAGTCACCAAACGCTGCCAGGGGCAGCATTTTGGCTTCCCAAAGAGGAGTCGACCCGGGCCTCCTAGTCGCCAGACACTGCCAGGGGCACCATTGGGATTCAGACTCGCACCCAGACTCACTCATACACAAGCTCACTCACACTCAGATTCATTTCTTCAGAGTCAGGCACACACAGACGTACCCATACTCAGACTCACCCACACTCAGGCTCACCTAACCCAGACTCCGTCAGAAGCCAGTAGCGAAGAGAGCAGAGAGGAGAGAGAGAGAGAGAGAGAGAGAGAGAGAGAGAGAGAGAGAGAGAGAGAGCGGGAGAGAGCGAGAGAGAGAGAGAGAGAGAGAGAGAGCGAGCGCGAGCGCGAGCGCGAGCGCGAGCGCGAGCGCGAGCGCGAGCGAGAGAGAGAGAGAG